AAGACCAAAAATTTTTGGAATAAATTAATGTAAAATAAATGTAATTTCTTTTTATTAAAAATAGAATTATTAAAAGATTACTTCTCTTTTTTTATTTCTCCTCAATCTCTATTTCTTGAATTTAGTATTGGACGATTTACAAAGGAAAGTGAAATAACAGGTTATTCAGAAATATAGCTGTTCCAATAACGCGTTATAAAACTATATAACTAGTTAACCGACCAGTTATTTTTGTGTGTATCGAGCGCTTGTAATTGCCCCGTGGCGCCGGTCTGCATCTCTTGTTCGTTTTGTTGTTCCCCGGCCGCTGTTTTGTTCCTCGCTTGTTGGTTTTGGGAATTAGCATGTCTTATTAGCATAACTGTCTGATAACAGTTGATTGCTGTTTTAACGGCTACACGTGACTCGATTTTGTTGACTGCTATAAATCGAATTTGAATTTTATAATTTTTATAAGTTTGATAGCATTTTTTGCAGTATTATCTTATAATATTGACCAGATGTTTTGTGAGAATCAAAATATTGATATGTTCTACTATGACTAATGAAAACAAAGAGTAGATAAAAGATTTATAACTACAATAAAAAACCAAGGACATAACTATGAATTTACCCGAGAAAAATATGTGTATGTATATATAATTTTCACAACTAAAAAATTGTGGTTTTCCTCAAATATATAGAAGTTAGATATATCAAAAGGCAAATAGATAAAATGGGAGTCGTATTAATGTTTTAAAATAAAACAATAACAATTTCAAGGAAGCGACGACGTTCATAATATACGACCGGTCGCCGAAATGGTAATATTGTTAACGGGGAGTAAAATAACTACGGAAGAAAGCAAAAGGAATACATGATGTTGGGAATTTCTCAATAAGCTGTGCGCGTGGGGCCGACGCGGGCGCCGCCCCGGCGAGCCACCGCCGCGCCGTGGCCGCGCGCCATCCATCCGTCTCCGTCGCACGCGCGCGGGTGGCGGCCAAGTACGGCCACCATGGCCACTTCGGCCACCACGGCCACTTTAGCTGCTTTGACCACTTTGTTGCCAAACACTACTTTGCTAGAATTTTATTGACTTTTGATTAATAATTTCAATAAATTCCTAATTTACTCTCACAACTATGGCCATATTTTTAAACATTTCTTTGCTAATGCTATAAAATTTTCGATTATGCCACAAGAAAGTCATAAACCGTTTATAAATATTTTTGTATAAAATATAAATAATATAAAATCGGATACTATATGACGGATGGGACCCCTACCTCGTGGCCACCTCGCGCGCGACCTCTGAGCGCTTTCGTTAAAGACCAGACCTCGCAGGCTATATCATTAATCTATTACGGCCTTACGGTGGGCTCGTGCATAAAAGATACTTTTTTATTATTTTTTATTCGTCGTTGAAACTTCGGTGAAACGTAACGAGTGCTGGGAACGATTTTCAGTTTTATGGCTCTTAATTAGAATGATTCGGCTCCGATGGCGTCTAGCTGTCGCACTTTCATTACATAAACTATATGTTTAATATAGTGTTTATGGAAGAATATATTGAGTTGCTTCCAACAAGCCGTTAAATGGTTGCATGAGATAGACGTAAAATATAACCTAACTCTTTGTAAAAAGCCTTTAACTGCCGCACTCGGGTAGATTAATCTAAACTAAGGATTAACGTTTCTGAGTGCAGAATAAATAACTTGTTGACTAACTTTATACATCTATCCAGATTTCTTTGTTAAAAATCATGATAAAGTTAAAATATTCCTCATTGATGGCAACATTAACAAAATATCGTTAGTTCTAAACTGGATTCGAACCCGCCCCCGGCGTCGTCGCGCCGCGCCTCCGGGCCACACGTATTTGTACAACTGTCGGCTAATTACATACTTTGAACGGACTGACTTTCGATACAAATGATTAAGCTCTTCATATTATCTTTCTTTTTAATTTCCAAAAGTCAATCTTTATAAATCGCTTTTAAATAATTTTATTTAATACATATTTTGTATTTAACTTTTGAAATATGCATTACATTCTTAAGTGAGCTGCGATTTTTATTACCAGCTAGTCTATACTATTATAATAAAGCGTAAACACACATTTCTTTGTTGCCTAAGATGTCAGCATCATATTTTTGAATAATTCTTTTTTTAATAAAAAGCCCTACACTTACGTCACGCTTTAGGCTATATATTTTTGCACCATTTATCTTAAGGGGTAAATATTTTGGATAAAAACCCTAATGTGGGAAAGAAACCATAAGTTGCTGCCAACATCAAGAATGATTGCTAAGGTTTGTCATGTCATTTTGACATTTGCAATTGACAATTTGTAACATGTAAACAATAAAATAACTTTATGGTGATGAAATCGCACGGGAACAGCTAGTATTTATAATATTAGTAACTAACTGTTGCTTGTAACTACGATACGTGAAAAAAAAATAAAATGTATAGTCTACATTACTCACAGATAAATTACTTTTCTAATAGTGAAAGAAATTATGAAATCGGCTCAGTAGTTTTCAGATATTTCAATACATACAAATATTTTCTCTTAATAATATTACTTACTTTCGCCCGCGACTCCGTTCGCGTGGACATAAAAAATAATATTAAACATAGCCTAATATTACTCACTGACAACGTAGCTTTTCAATGGTGAATGAATTTTCGAAATCGGACGAGTATTTTTGAGTTATTTCATTACAATCAAACAAACAGAGTTTTCCTCTTTATAATATTAGTATAGATGGTATAGATATAGTGCTTATAATCATGATTTTATCAAAGTATCATAAATAAACACATGTATGGTATTATTACACCGCGTAGTTGCATTAACATGAATGAAGGCTTATAAGTTGGCTGTAACTATTTCGTTAAACACACAGCGAGTCAGCGAGCGACTTCCCCGGTTATTAATGGAGCCTGTCGATGATTCCAAACCGGTCCGAAAAAGACATAAACGACGGCTATAATTCTGACAGCTGTATTATGCAAGATAAATATCATTTATTGGTATAATTTTACACATGGTCCTACGTGCCCCACTTCCCTTGTGCCACAGATAAATAAAAATGTTGCAATAAATAAAAATTAGTAAACATTTTTACTTTGATGATGTTTAAAATGTAGTTTTGATATTTGACATCTGTCAAGAAATGCTCAAGGGGAATTCTACGTTCTATAAAACTTTATTTAACTTAATTTATTTCAAACTAAATGCATATTGTGGTATAATATACGCAACAATAATCTAATATAATCTATCAAAGTATTATGTTATCTGTCTACTAAATTACTAAAGGCGTAAAACAAATATTTAGAAATGTAAATGCTATCTTACTATTCACTTTAAAATCATCTTGTGTGTTTGTAAAAGATGTCAGTAAAATAATAAATCAGAGAAATCATAAATTAAAAGCAAATTGTTAACAAGAGGTCAGAAAACATCGTAAGCTGTCCACGGGCGAGCCAGCGCCATTATTAAAGTAATTTAGCACTCTCTGGGCGCTGCGCTGCTCTGTAGACTGTGTTTGTTTTGCGGGCGAGAAGTTGCCTCAACCTATTATTACCGTCTCGTTATACTTTTTTACCGCCAGGAGTGGTCAACACTCGGCTATTCAAAATCTGAAATACGCTTTTGCACATTATGAAAATAAAGTATTCGTTTACATTTCGCTTTATGTTCACATAAGATGGACATGCGCTTCTTTGTTCGAATACTCATTTGAATGCGGCCGCGCTTTTGTACAGAATGTATGTTTGAATATGTTTATTTGTGATTGATGTGTTAATATTTGATATACTTGAAGTTATCATATAGTTCAGAGGTCTCCTAATTTAAAAAGACAACGCATTCAAAGTTGGATGTGCCTACTATTGACTTTTTGGAAGTGAATTAACCAATTTAAATTCGCTAGCTAAAAACTTTGTAACGTGTATGTCTCTTCATACAGAAACTTCCAATTTATTTATCGTTATTTGGCAGTCTAATGTCAAAAAGAAACATTTTATGGATGATCACAACATAGTTACCCTGTCAACTTTTTTCGCTGTTTACAATCTCTTTTTGTCGCACAAATTATTGTTTCTTTTTTCAAAAAAAGATCCAAATGTTGGTAATCACCTCGACCAGTGTTAACTGGCCTCTCGCCGGAGGTGCGGACGCGGAATCAGTGAAAACATGTTATTATTAATAATAATCTCACTTATCCAACTTATTTCAATACGTAAGGTTATCGGGAGATCGATTCTTAGAAATATTTGACTTGACTTATCTGTTGGTATAATGTGGAAATTATAATTGTTAACCACCCACGTTGTTAATAAACATTTCTTATAACTTAGCGTACTTAAATATGTCTGTCATTAAGTGTAGTAAAGTTCATTCATTTTTGTCAGATTCTTGGAAACAATGTTTTCGTGGACTTAATGATATATTTTCTGTAATGAATACTTTCGAAGATGAATTATAAGCCTTGTATTAAGTAAGCATACTTGAAATATTAAGTAAGCAAGTTAACTTATAAGTGACTGAGCAGATTGCACTGTATTATGCCCACTATTCGACGAAAAAATATGTTCCATTTATATCTGAATGCGTAATTGTTTGTTAAAGTTTGTAGCCTAAACGGATTACGATAAAATTTAGCATAGATATACAGGAGAGTCTTGAAAAACACAAAGGTTACTTACTTGTGTTTTTTCGTAATTCCACGTCGACGGAGTCGCGACCGAAAGCTAGTTAGTTGTATTCCTAGAATATCTACTCTTTAAAAGTTTTTATATGATAAAATTTAATTATGTTTTATTAGATGTTGGTACAATTAATTTAACGTCGCTGTGTTATTCTGTTTGTTAGATATCATAATTTCAACATCTTCATAAACCTTCCAACATCTAATACCTGTATGGTCATCCTATCCACATCCTCACGTCAGGCTAATTTCGCCTTACTTCATATCATACTAAAGTTCATTTTTCTCACCTTCGTAGGAGCTCATCTATAACCAAAGTCAACGGATGTTGTCAAAGTTGCTGTGGCCCAATCCAGTGCCTAGTGCGCCAAGAGATCCCCACTCAGACCATTTGGTTAGTAGACATTTTGATTTTTAACCTCGAATATAAGACGAATTTTTATTTTATCACAAATCCGTCCCAAAACTGTTTGTCCATATCTGACGTAGGATGTCCACTTTCATATTCCTAATTATTTTAAACAATTTTAAGTTAAAAATAACAGTAATCATTAATAATGCAAAAACGTATGAATGCAAAAATTGACAATTTAATTTTTTTTCCATTGTTTAAGCTGTACAAAAGAAGAATTCTTAATTTTTTTTTAATTAAAACTTATTCGTTAAGTTTCACGAACAAAAAGGTTATAAATGGTCGCAAACAGTTGGCAACTAGCATTTAACAAACACCATTAGACATCAAATTAAAAAAATAATGTAACGAATCAACCGTCAAAATAACTCATGTTCCGATGACGCCCCTAACTAGGCCTCTTAAGCTTCGTTTGAATAACTTTTTTAGGCGCCAAAAAAATTGATGTTCGAAATCATAGCAGCAGATGTTAATGATTCTATTATTTATGGTTGAGCCTTGTCTATTATACTTTTTTTTTAACTGTTACCCACCGGTAACTGGATGCCTTTAAACGGGAAATCATTCGTCCGTGTAATTCTGTATATTGTGGAATAACGATTAACAAATAAACACGAACTTTTTATAGAAGTACAGTCGAGAACATCTCTATAGTTATTTCAGTTGTGTGATTGAATGGTAAACTGTGGGTACGTATTAAATACTATAGACTAAATTACATCGTTTCTTACAATTAAAAAGATGACGTAACAAAAAAAATCTCAACCTACGTAATAGTTTAATCGGTATGTTTTTTATTAAAGTTTTAAAACCAGAGTTGGTAAGAATGGTTTATCCTACTCACTATTTATTATATTATATGCCTCTGGAAAACATACAGCATTGCTTATGAAGATGCGTTATATACTTAGCTTGAATTTCGCGGTCATTCGCCGTTGA